ATCGCTATCAAAAACACAAAATCCGAAAAAGAGCAGTTCTTGGACAGGCTGCTGAATGACAAGATCGGTGTAGCTGATGCGCTGCCTGGAGCGCTGGTCAAGATCAAAATGATCAACAAAACTGGCGTTGTGCACGACGCTATTATAGAGACTGACGACCTGTACTATCCACCATCCTGTCTTGAGCTGGAGGACAACAATGCATCTGGGTGGGTGTGGAAGTTGCTGTAAAACAGGCAATTAAGCCGATTTTTGGCCAGCATCTATAAATATCATTGTTATTTTTTAATCACTAATACTAATATCGATATCAACGACACTTTTCTTATTGCTGGACGTTTTTTTTTACTTCTACAATAATAAAATTTTACATCATCTAAAATGTTAAGATGTCATTGGCATTTCTCACAGAAACTCAATCTTGTTTAGAAGATAATGTCGGATTACTGCAATACAGGATGCAGGGATTGCAGATGTTGAAACCCACAGAAGGAGCAGACAGGTGCGTTTTGAGTGCAAGGCGGTGCAGCTCAGGATTTCAATATTGCGACACTTCAGAAGCTTAGGATCTCTGTATTTCAGCATTCCGGCAGCAAATGACATGTGGCATAATGGTATACGAGAAGAACACAGCCACCAGCCTCCCCCAACCAAAAAAAAATGCAACAAAGATAACCAGAAAGTATGTACATTTCAGACACATTGTCCAAATAGCTATCCATGACGACCGTGGCAAAAAAAGAACATATAATGAAAGCAACTGAATAGTATAATATACTGCGCAGTTTCTAATAATAAGCTTGCGATCCTGCCAAGAAAGCCAGGAACATCCAAAGAGAGTGGCAGCCGAGAAACAAGACAAGCCATGAATGAGATGGATCCGGCTCTTTTCTTTTCATTTATCCAGTTATTCTCAAAATGCCCAGACATGGAAACCAAGACATGCCGCAGCAAGGGCTTGATGCATTCAATCCGATCGATGATGGAATCTCAGCCGCTGATCAGCGTGTTTTGATTATGGCTGGCGACTACAGCAATCAAACCAAATTAGAAAAATTATTATCGAGTAGAAAGAGGTATGTTTATTGCACATGTAGAGACAGTATTATAAAGTCGGTTACTATCTAGCAGCAAGTATGGACGTGTCAGCACCAGCGTCTTCGTCGGTCTCGATACCGATTTCGTCAAACAGATCGTTGATCTTCTTTGGGTAGCCCTCGGCGATGGTGTCAGAGACGTTTTTGAATATGCGCTTGCGTGTGGCCCAGTGCTTGATCATAGCGGCATGCTCTGTGTCAATCTGTTTCTTTTCCTGCGGCGATATTACCTCTCCTGCACGAAGCTGTTTCAACCGCTGGTCGTTCTCATTTGCCTCCAATGTCAGCTTGGCAATGCGCTCGCGCATCTGATCATCGGTCAGCGCGTTGGTCAGCGAATGGAGCTTTGAAGAAAGCGCCTTATTTTCGTCTTTGAGCTTTGTCAGCCGGCTCTCCATTTCCTTGATTGTTTCCTCCTCTTCCTCGGCCTCTTCGACATTGGGCACCTCGATCTCTGTCTGTAACGGATAGAATATCTGTTGCTTGTTGTTGTTTTTGCGCGAGATTCGGCCTTCGTCAGCCAGGTCGTTGAGTATTTTCTTTGCTGCAGCAACAGTGACCTGGTTGTGCAGCTGGCTAGAGATATCGTTGGCGCTGTATGGGCGGTTGGTCTTGACAAGATAGTCGAAAACCAACTTTACTACAGACGTGTAGCAAGGCATAGAGATAGGCAGGGTAAGTAAAGAGTCTGAAATATAAACTTGTGAGCAAATTCCAAATGCACGGTCCTCATTCAGCGCAAAAAACGACACCGAGTGGCTAACGCCTTGATACTTGCCTTCTTTGTTCTCGTTGTCAGAGCTCTTTGACTTTTTCGGCGGCATTTCAAACAAAAAGTCTAATTAGATTTACAAGCGGGATAAAAAATCAGAGTACAATACAAGTCAAGGCTACAGCGCTAAGTGAATTAAGCAATTATAAAAAGAATAAGAAAAGTAAAAAAAGGGGACTGCGTCGCCAAATTATATGATCAGATGCTGGCTGCGCATTTCTCAAAGTTTTGCATCCCATTTCCATGCGTCTTGATCCGATGTGTAAGAGCCTGATCAAATCATGCGACAGGGACAAGGGTGATCAGAAGCCGGGTGAGGTGGCTTGGCCAGCGTTCGGAGAATCTGATGATGAATTCATGCATCCGAATGTGCCGCTTTTGGCAGTAGCAGGAGTTTTATTACAGCTCTAAAACGGAAGGCGGGTTTCTAAGCAGAGAGAAGCGTGCGATTTTGCAAGCAGCAGCAGCAACAATAAAGGCGGAAGGAGGGTCGCTTGCCCCCTTGGGCTCTGGGTTCCTGGCAGGGCAACAGCCCGCAAAAGCCCCCCTTTTGTGCTGCAGACCTGTGGGGATCAGCTCGGCGAGGTTAATTTGTGAGAGATGCAAATACGAGGATCGGCGACGCGAGGAAAGCTAAAAGCACATTCTTTGTGCATGGGAAGACAGGCAATACAACATGTATTGCGCACCATTGTGCTGGCATTTCATGAATCGTGCTGTCTGTTGCAGACTGCGTGCCTGGGAAATCAAGACCGACAGAAGCGGCTCTGTGCCTCGTGTCGCGGTCCAAAAATAAACACCCCAGCACGCAACACTGAGAAGCGGGACAGAACCGACGGCTGCTGCACGAAATTGCTTTATTAAGTGAGCAATATATCCCATGCCAGTGCCGGCACACTGAAACAAGGTTGGCAGGCGATAAAAGGCAGGCGAAGAATGCAAAGCGGGTTCTTGGCCGAAACGCACAATCGCCGGCGAAGAAAGGCCCTTGTGCGCCAGAGCTGTGGACGCAGCACATCGCAACAGACGGATGCGCAGCCCACGGCCCAGGCGTCGCTTAGCTCAGCGAAAACGGGCTCTGTGTGCTGTAATTTGCTGTTTTTCTTTGCAAACGGCGCCTCCCAAGCGAAATAATGCTGGCGGATATTGCCAGTGTCTGGCATCCATTATCGTCGGCTTGTTACTACACCGCCAAGCACGCACGACAAGGCTGGGTGCAAATGGCCCCGCGCAGGCCGCCTGCGAGCTGCAAATGTTTTTGTTTTCTACCACAATGGGGGAAATCGGAATGGCATGGCATAAGAGCCGAAAACGAACTGCAGACATGCGAGCGCGGGTGGCGCGCTGCCCAACGTTTTCTTTTGCGTCTGCCCTGGTCCTCTATCCTCTGCCTTCTGCCTTCTGCCATGTGTGCTGCACGAGCTGCCAGCCAAAGAGCAAAGGTAAGAATAACGAGCGCAATAAAAAAGAAAAAGAAAAAGAAAGTGCGAATGCAAAGGGCCAAATGGCCAAAGGCCTAGTCAAAGACCATATAGCCAAAGGCAGCCAAAGTCAAAGACAGCAATAGCGTCAGCGCTCTTTGCACATACACGCCCACACTCACATCCACATCTTCTCGGAACTGCTCGCTTGCACAAAACAAAAAGATATTCTGCACTTTGATGTACAAGAGCCCTTTCCATCGCATTATGCTGCAACCCGGCTGGCACTCGTGCTTCCTGAATGAACAACAATAAGCGCTCTCTTTTTTCTTTTATTTTCTGCTCGCTCCTCCCCGTGCACAGCACACCCATTCTTGCTGCCCGCATGTCTGCCCTGCCGCCGGCTTTGCGCGCCCTTGCCTTGTGCTATCGGGTATAGCATGAATGGCCTCTTTCCGTTTTGAGACTGGGCACAATCTGCTTGGCATCACGCATGCGCTACCCCGCTGCCGAAAAGCCAAACGGAGACTCGTTAGTCCCCTTCTGTCTGCCTCCAGGAACCGCCTGCCCGTCGTGTCTATATAAACACCCGCTAGTCTGCCTTTTCAGCCCGCCCTTTTTCCCCCACGTCTCTCTTTCTTTTCTGCTTCTAGCTTTAGCACACCGCTTCCCCGCTGTTTGCCTCCTTTTTCTCCCACACTGCTGCCCACAACCATGGATATCTACAAGCTTATCACTCTAAGTCAGCCCTTTGCCACCTTCCCGCAGGCGCTCTACAAAATCCTCAGCGAGGGCCACACCTGGATAGAGTGGAACAAGGACGGCACCAAGATCCGCTACAACAACCCCGACCGCCTGATGCACGAGCTGCAGGCCCTGGGGTTCAAGGCCCAGGACTCGGCGTCGCTCAGCAAAAACTTCAACGACTACGGCTTCAAGCGTCTCAGCGACGCCCGCAAGTCCCGCTACGACCCCTGGCGCAACAACTGGACCATCTTTGCCCACCCCAACTTTCTGCGGCACAACGCAGACTCGGCTAATGCAATCCAGCGTCGCAGAGCCCGCCGGCCCCGTGCTCAGTCCAAAAAGTCCTCGCCATGCTCCGATGACAGCACCTGGTAACCCTCTGGGGGCCACATGCTCCAAAGGAAACACAAAAAAAGCCCTCCGAAACAAAAACAACCACCAACTCGACTGCCTTCATGTTTTTTTACATCCTGGCAACTAGACACCTTCCATCATCAAAACTCCATTGTATAAAATCTCCTTTCTTTTTTCTTATTTTTATTCTTCATACATGTGCTTCATATTCACGATTTCAATAAAATGCATCTCTCGCTTTGTTAAGGATATAATCTATGTCTGTTTTTTATTGTTTCTGCAGAAATGCACAGGCATACATGCCCCACGGCATCACCTCTTGCTCACACGTTAAAACAAAACAAGCACAATGAAATCTTTTATACATCCATGTTCTTTTGGCATAAAACAAAAACGATTGACAATGTCCAACAACCGCCACCTGCCCACAAACATGATAAAACGCATAAATCCGCCTTTGTTGGCTCTTTCATTTTACTACTTTATTTTTTGGGGTTTAATTTGCTTTGATGTACAAAAATAATTGTACACATATGCTTGCATATATATATAAAATCACAATAAATGCGGCACATGTCAATTAAATTTCAGCTGCAAAAAATTATAAAATGCGACGTCCGGGAATCGAACCCGGGACAACTGCTTGGGAAGCAGCAATTTTACCTCTAAACTAACGACGCAAAGTGAAAAACTGTCCGAAAAAACAATTTAAAACTCGGACTTCCGCATTCATTAGGGATATAACAGCTAATTTAATTTTAAAAATGGATTTAATTAGTTTTTAAGCGGAAAACAGGGTTTATTAGAAAGGAAAAGTAAACTCAAAAAATACTAGATATATGGCGCTTAGTCAATTTGCTTAGGGACGGATGAAAGGGTAGTAAAAGTCGATTCCGCGGCGCTGGGCGTCGATGGGCTTTGGCTGAGGAGAAGCAGCCGCATTGGGAGAAGGGGCCTGAGATGCTGGCGACGGTGCTGCTGAAACGACGCTTGCGATGGAGACAGCGAGGGCGAGGACGACGGTGAACTTCATTTCGAGAAGTAAAGAGTATTTGAGGTAAAGATTTTGTTGCTTAAAACAGAAGTGAGTACTAAGAGGAGATGATAGCGATTGTTGTTGTTGTTGGTTGTTGGATGTTGGATGTTGGAAAATTGATTTGAACTGGTGCTGCCAGACGCTTCTTTTATAGCATTGCTAGCCAGCTATTTTTTTAATATATATTCAGTTTTTGGCATCGGCAATTAGCACTTTGTTCACAACTGGACGACTCTAGTAAAGCTATCTAACGAAATTTAGTTGTTGGTAAAACACCAGTTCGCTTTGCTTTGCCTTAGTTTTTTTGCTTACTTTCTTTCATCGATTGTTTTGGTGTCCATATTAATTCATAGCATTTTGAAAAGAACATGCTCCGTTTTCTTTATGCTATATCGATTCAGAATTGATCTTGGAACGCATATTTAATTACGATACTGGTTTTCGCAAAGGCTGTTCGTAGTTCCTTAGCAAAAGCAAAAGTAAATTCACAATTCATGATTGTTTTTTATCCTTTACATGTTGCATATGCTGCCTTCTGTATGCATAATAAGAAAATCTCTTTGAAAGGTACTAACATAAAACAAAAGCAAGGCTGATACGCTAACTATCATGAAGGCACATACTAAACGCTGGAGTTATTAGCAATAAGGCGTGAAATTAAACCACTGCATCTCTGCGGTGAATGGGCCGTGTGACCAGTCAACAGTCCCTGCCCACCCGCTAGTCTGTGTCCCATCCCAGATACCCATGCGCGCCCGACTGGCGTATGTGGGAAAGTCGTCTGATGTTTTGGGAAGCGTGCGCACGACCTTACCGTTGATATACCATTTGACATTGTCTTGGTTCAGTTCTACGGCGTAATTCTGGAACAAAGAGCTTAGGTCTGCACTGCTGCCGTCCTGTTGCCTCGACTCAAATACCTGCGGAAGCACATCTACTCGATGGGATTGCACATAGTACATGGTCTGTGTCTGGGTGGTGGCCTTGCCAACCCATTCAAAGTCGATTTCGTCCGATGGCGCCGGCCCAAGAAGCAGCATCGATGTAACTACGCCGCTGCCACCACCGATCCTGATTCGTCCTTCTATCTTTCCGTAGTGGAAGTCCCATGGATACACCATCGTTGTGCCACACTCTTGCGTCAGCCGCCAGACAACCGAATCGCCGGTCTGGTACGCGTTCTGCGGACACCAGACAAAGCTAAACTTGTCCATCGCACCACCCTGCGAAAAATCTATATACTCGCTATTGCATGTGTACACCAAATCCTGAGGCTCCTGCGAATAGATGCCGCTGGCGGTAGAAGGCAAGTCTACATCCGACGGGGTTGATTCCGCTTGCTTTTCAGAGCTGGATTCGCTGTGTGACGCAACCGAGGACGACGATGATGCCAGTGCCGATGTTGTGGAATGCGTTGTTGTTGCTGCTGATGACTGAGAATTCGAGCCCGCACCAGACCCCTGGTTTGAATTACCGCTGCTGCCAACCCCGTTGATGTTGGATATATCGATAAGTCCGCCTCCTGCCGCTATGACTACTTCCAGTCCGTCGATTGCATCTCGTTCGTAGAGATTGCCAGGCATGACCATTGGCTGACGGGCCTTCCTAAAAGAAATCGCTTCTCTGGGCGTAAAAGGCAGGTTTCCCGCATCCTGGCCGAAAATCAAGTCTTTCAGACAAATGCCCAGCTCGCCACTGACACCGTTCAGCGACAGCGTGCTCAGCACCGACAGCGACAAAAGGCTATGCAGTTGCTTCATAGTCTGTGATTTTTTTTACAAAAGTGAAACAAAAGGAATGAACTCGAATTAGCAAAAAAAAACAAGTATTCAAGCAAGTACAAAAAGAACACCTCGTTTTGTTTACAAAAAGAACATCGATGACTGCCTGTAAACAAACAACTACATAAAGGGTGTCCAAGCACTATACGTAGTGGAAATGCTTCTTTTGGCTGGTGGAACTGATTTGATCGGGCTGGAAAATCGTTTGGGCTGATTATTCGATTACCAAAGACATGCTTGACTGCCTTTTTTTATCGCAAGGCTTGTGATTCGCTCATGTAAACTCTTTATATATTTTTTGGCACACTTGTTCCAAGGCGCATTTTCCGCTAAAATGGAAGATAAAGTCCCTGCCAATTCAAATTTCCTCTTCTTTTAAAGATTACTTTAGATTTCTTTATTTCTGTTTCACTTCCACCAATTTAAAAAAGGTACGACGAAATGTTGGAGGCATTGAAATCGAGGGCGCCTTTTCGGAATCCACCCGACTGCGTTACTGATGCGGTATCAAGCCCACGCTTTCGCAATTGGGAGCTCTTATCAGTTTAACGAGTCTGCGCATTTTGTTTTACCATGGACCTATCACTAATTACATTTTTTTCTTTTTGCGTTGATAGGTAGATTTCGAAAGAGTTATCGATTATTAGCAGCAATGTCCACAGCCGGTCGCAAATTCCTTACCTCTATTAACTGGCCCGTTGTCAACTCGGTCCTCTCGAAGCACACCGAGATCACCAAGTCTCTCGGCGCGTTCCGCAAGGGCTACGAGGAGGCCGAGCGTCAGCTCACTCAGCTGAAGGAGACCGACCGTCCCATCGACTTTGAACACTATCGCAGGGTTCTGAAGAACACCGATATTGTCGATAAGCTTGAGAAGATCGCAAAGGCGCAGAAGATCACCAAGGTCGACCTTGCTGAGCAGCTCAAGACCATCTCAGCCTTTGAGGCCAAGGCGGTCGCTTCGGCTGAGCTCTATGTCAAGGAGACTGAGGCCAACCTGGCTGATCTCAGCGAGACCGTCAAGAACATTGAGCAGGCTCGCCCCGTCACCCAGCTTACTGTTGATGATGTTGTCAAGGCCAAGCCCGAGGTTGTTCAGCGCACCGAGGAGATGGTCAAGCAGGGCAAGTTCACTGTTGACGGATACGATGAGAAGTTCCCCAGCCTGGCTCTTCTGTAAACCAGACATTTTGTTTTATTCCAGCCTTATTTTCTTGCCTTCTATTAAATATAAAGTCACTGGTCGTATTTTATTATTTTATTTCCTGGTCAAGGCAATAAAGGAGAAAGTTAGGATATAAATGGGTTTAAAGATGCTATTTCTAGTGGACTAGTTGGCGACCTTGCGCTTTTTTCTGATAATCATGGTGAGGTCATTTACCTTTGCTGGTTGCTGCTGCTGCTTTTGATCGCTGGTATCTTTGACAACCGGTTTGCCAGCAGTATCGATGACAATGGTCGGGATGTTAAAGTTTGCGCTGATAAATTCCAGGAAGCGCTTTGATGACGCGACCGCTGCTTCGTGAGACGAAAAGTCCATATCATGGTCAAACAATGCAATAAGCACCTTGTCGTAGTCATCGAAACTAAGCGAGCCCTGCTCTGCAGTGCCATCGATATTGCTGCTCGAGTTAGAGTCCTGCCTATTATCAACAGGCAGCGCTGCAGAGTAGTACGCAGCGCGGCGGCCAGATCCGCATTCTTCGCTGACAGCAAGCATCTCGATTAGCATTGATACCGACCAGGAATTTGAATGAGGCTCGTAGAGCAGGCGGGTCATTGGGTCATCTGGGAACTGCAGCACGCAGTCATGGGCGCGGGCTGAGCTGACGTATGGCAGACCCCAGGTCCATTTGATGCTTGGTGAAGTAGTAGCATTGGTGGCAGCAGCAGCAGGCTTGGATTCCGTATATTGACCGATTGTTCCATCTGCATCAGAGGTATTGTTGGTGGTGGTGTGCTGATCAGAGCCTAGGAACCACGGTGCTTCGCTGGCAGTTGACCCAGGAACCACGCAGTGAGCAGCGACATTATCGAGGCATCCGCCATTCTGCTCAGCGTGTGTTGCGTATCGAATGCTGTAGTCCAGCGCTGACTGCCACCACTTGACAAGCGCCAGGTCGTCTAGTATATGCTTGCCTGGGTTGCTCTGCGACTTTGCAAACAGATATTCCGGCTGCGCTCGGGCAAAAAGATGTACCCCTACAGTAGGCACGGCGGTCGCTGCGTGGTATCTGTGCAGCGACTGTAGATACCCGGCAACCAGCATCTTTACCAGTGGCATTCGGGCAGACAGAAACCCGGAAGTATCGATTTTCTCAATGCACACATCCACCGCCACCGACGCGGCCAGGTGTGGGCGGTGTGCGCCGCTGGTTTGCACAGAAATAGAGGTGAACTCGTGCGCCTCCAGCCCGGAAACCAGCACTGAGCCTTGAGAGACAAGGATAAGGATTCGGCGCGACATGGTGGTTTCTGAATGGAAGTGGCTAAAGCGCCGCCGCGGCGTCAACGAATCTACATGGTGGTCAGATGTCTGGATCACGTGAACCGAAAATCTGTGGCCAGCTGGGAGTTTGCGCAGGGACTCGGTTATGCTCCGGGCAATTGTAGAGCTGGTTGCGGAATCGCTAGCACCTGGCGGCATTCTTCGGGCTAATTCGCGTTGGGTAGGCAAGGCGGTGGTGGCAACAGACTGCGAGTGTGATTGTTTGGCAAATAAAGATAAAAAGGAAGCAAATGGTAAACCAATAATGTAGCTTTGCGCTAGAGGCGTTAATAGCCGTGCCGGAGTGTGTATATAAATGTTTAATAAAATATTAAAAAACCAGGTGGATATATGAGAACGGCACTGAAAACAGTC